ATCAAAACTATTATGTAAGGAGACTGTGCCTTTACTGTGACAAAAACTAATTAAGGAAGAACAAAAGATTTGACAGCGATTACAGATCTGCCTCCTTTGGTCTACCTAAACATTGTTCAGTGAAAATAAACCAAAAAAAGAATGCAGGTACTTCAAGGAAGTCAAGGATATCTAAAACAAGATGACTTCGATCTCCAGTACTATCTCTGTATCCATTATAGTGCCATGGATGTCAAATCTTTCTGCTGATAGGCTATATTCACAAGCTGATGAATGGGAAGACAGTACTGTCCAAATAAAAACACTGGAAAATCCATTAAGTCAATTTTAAAGTACTCACTATAGATAGCAAAATAGAAATCAGTCCATAGACAAATTCACTTCCCCTCTAGGAATGCTAGCATCATCACTTTTTCCTTTTTTTTAACTACTAAAGTTTTACCCTGTTAATGGTAGTTTCTTCAAAGTGTATTAAATATTTAAGTTTTTTTCTTCTTACTTTTCCATAAAATCTCAATCAAATTAAGCACAAGAGATAGGCAGAAATAACACCTGTGTCTCCCTGAAGTATAAGACAACTAGGATGATGGAACCAAAAATTCCTGTCTCCTTGGAGATAGTATAGATGTTTAGCTACAGCTGTAATTCTATATGCTCTTCTACTCTCCTCATGTTCTCCTTTTATAATTGAAAGAGTATTACATAAATGAATTCTTAACTGTGGACCAATTAATCAGGTCAGCAACACAAACACAATGAAATAAAACAAATGCTACTTCTGTTTCTGGCTTAGAAATCCTAAAAGAGCCTTTCAATGAAAAAGACAAAAACAGTAGATAAAATGTATATCTTCTAAATGTATTGCTGGGCTGACCCAAAAGAAAGGAACCCATAAAGCCCAAAACAAAGTGAAAGCATGAGCCCCTGCAACGGAAGCAAGAAAGATAACTTTTATCCTGAGAGTTTCTATCAAATATTGGAGACCTCAGTTTCCACTTCATTGGCTTCATAATGCACAGGAGGAAAAAATCTAAGGCTTGCCTGCTATGGAGAATCTTTTAAAAGTCCCACACTAAAAGCAATGACAACAAAAGCTAACCCTCAGTGTTTAGGGATGGACTAGCCAGAAATAAACTTGCCAAGCAAAAGGCCTCAGGAAGGCCACTGATAATTCTAAAACGGCATTGGATGGCAAGAGGAAAGAATCTCTCATGAGAATTTATAACCTCAAGCTGGTCTTCCCATAACATTATGTTCTGAGTTCATGATCCCTTTGTGATACAAAGAATCCTCAAAGAGAAAATTAAATTTAAAGTTTTTCCAGATTAATAGGGCTTCCATGGGAATGGAAGAAACAAACACAGATAAACCCTTTCAGGGCAGCTCAATAACAATCCTCAAAGAATTCCCATGGATGAGATTGCTTGTAGGAGTAGAATGAGAACTCCAGAGTCAAAAAATGTATACTGCCATGGTGGCACATTCCTGTAATCGTAGCTAATTGGGAGGCTGAAGCAAGAGGATCACTTGATCCCAGGATTTCCAGGCTGTAGTACACCATGATCACACCTGTGAATTGCCACTGCACTTCAGCCTGGGCAGCACAGCAAGACCTTGTGTCTGGAAATAATAATGATAACGATGATGGTGATGGTGATGATGATGATGACATATTAGTTTCTTAAGGCTATCATAACAAACTGCCATACATTGGTGGCTGAAAACAACAGACATTTATTCTATTACAGTCTGGAGGCCAAAAGTCTGAAATCAAGATGTCAGCAGGACCACTCCCAAAGGCTCTAAGGGAAAAATCTTTCTTTGCATCTTCCAGCTTCTGGGGGAGTCAGATGTTCCTCGGCTTCTGGCTGCATCACTTCAATGTTCTCTGTTTTCTTCTGTGTCTTATCAAAACACTTGTCATTGGCTTTAGGAACCACTGGGATACTCCAGGATGATTTTACCTCAAAATTCTTAAATTAATTACATCTACAAAGGCTCTTTTTATCAAATAAAGTCACCTGTGCATGTGACTTTAAGATGGATTAAGATGTAGACATATATTTTTAGGATTTATAATTCAAGCCACAAAAACGCATGGAGAAAGAAGACTCTGCCTATGAAAACCAGCAAGAAATACAGACAGGAGAAACTTCTCCACACAGTATAAGACAAGTGAGTCCTCTTTTTCCTCTTCCTTCCTCCCCAGGCTGACTTTCCTTCCTAGACCCAGCTTTTTCAGACCTTTGCAATGTGTTCACTTACATAATCACTTGGGATATTAAATAAATCATAATTTTAAAACATATACTTTTATTAAGACTTCATGCTCTTTGTTCTCTGGAGTGATTATATAAAGGGGATTGATCTCACTGGAGATTAATTTATTATTATTGTTTATTATTTTATTTGATGGTTTTTAAGTAATTTTAGAGACAAGATGGGGTAGAAATGTCTTTCCTTTATTATCTTAAAATTAGAGACCCATCCTTCTACTTTAAAAGTGCAGACTTCCCCCCAGCCAAACACCAAGAGTTTTCCAATGTTGGTATCTTATTTAGGAAAAACTCAAGTAGGTCACTTGCTTTAGTCTAAAGAACTATCAGGTTTCCAGCTGGAGATCTATTTAAATTGAAACTCAAAGAAGAATCCTTCTAAGACAGATGAAATATCTTGCCTTTTATATGATGATTCTACATCATTTAGGAGCAAAATTTCTGCAGAACTTACTAAATGGTTTTGCAATAAAAAATGATCATTATGATAGTCCAGTATCATAGAGTAGCAAAAAGTCCAGGTTCCATTTGGAGTTAAATTATTCACTGCACAAAGACGCCATTTTTAAAGGGTTTCATTCATACAGTAAATATTGCTGATCTAGATATTTTATAGAAATTTTCGAACAGAAAGTAGGCAAGAATCCTGTAGTAAAAAGATTATATTATTATATTTTTGTGATGTATGGAAGTAAAATGTCATAAGGAAGTGATCCCTTCTTATAATTTACACAAAGTCCCTGTAGATCCTGAGAGCAGTCCTGAATCAAACTACCTGGCCAATCACATTCATCCAGAAATGTTTTGACAGGGACATCATTTCCAAATTATAACCTGTACAACAGGAAGAGAAACTTAATTTTAAATATGCTTTGTAAAAATGTAACTGTGAAATCATTATAATAGATTTGGTCCCACAAAATATAATTTTGATACATATAACCCTTTAGCAACAGAGTGGTCAGAATTTAAGAATAAAGCATTTCTTATCAAGCCTCAGATCATTGGCACCTGGATTATGAACGAAACAGAAAAATGATCAATCTGATGATTCTCTGAGGGCTTTTCAGAGATTTCCCACACCGTCTAGACATTGATGATAAAAGGAACTTCTACTCAGATGCAGAACCTCATTCACATGTCTTCCAGAAATTTTAATAGTTCCTTTCTATGCATTTTATATATAGGATATATAATATGTATATTACAATTGTATTTAAGCCATGATCATGAAGATTAGTTAATTCATTCAGTTATTCTGTCATTCATCAACAAATATTAAATTAGCACTTAAAAATTGCAATGTATATTGTTGTGTCTAATCTTGACATATTCTTCATTTCTTGGTAATTAATATCAATCATTAGCAGTGGGGTAAGGTACAACTGAGAACAGATATTTGATTATATTACTTTAGTCCTTAGATGCACTAATTAGTTACAGTTAAAAGATGGTCTAATTAAATTTGAAGGCTAATAAATATAAACAATCCAATATAATAATATCACAACTTACTGAAATATAAAAATAAGCAACATACAAGGATAATATGACTTGAAATTACATATTAATAGAAAAACTGTTTAAAAGTCCCCTTACCTCTCGTTTGCAACCCCTTTCCACAGGCTTCCCTGGTGCCCGTTATTCTCTGCCTGACAGACTCTGGCACTAAGATGCAAAGGCTCCATTTCTGTGGCTTCCACCTGTGATTACAAAGAACAGTGGGCTAGCAATTTCACTACCATAAACATGCAAAAAAATACTCAAAATAGATAAATTTAAAATGAAAAAAAATCATAAATACAGTAATTCAATAAAAATAGATGTGAAACCAATGTCATAAAATCAAACCCTGCAAGCACTAGGGTGACAATGGCGTACTCTGTCCCAGATTCATGGCTAAGGCAGTAATTGCATTTTTTAGAATTTGGACATTTTGTACATAAACCTTAGTTAATATAGAAAAGTAGCAACAAAAAAGTATTAGAATCACAGGTCAATCTGGGAGGTGTAGCTGTTTATGAATTTAAAGTTGTTTAAAAAATACAATTAGAAAGAGTGAGAAAATTTCTATATCTTATTAGAGCATTAGAGAATCAAGTTTCAACATTTAAATGTTTCAGGTGCAAACATTTTATACTCGATATTCTGCTCCTAATTTTTATAAGTTGCTTCTTAAGACTTTGTAGTAACTCAAAGGTCTCAATAAGTTATAGAGTAAAAGGAGAAAGGAGACCATGGATCTATCTTATCTGATAGTTCATCTTAGGGAAGAGGATGGACCATCTGTCCTCTGATAAAATACCACGATTTCTCTTTCTCAAAGGAAACAGTCTTTGAAGAAGTCTTCTGGATTTCCACTATTTTTCTTTTCTGGGGTCAACAAAACCCCTTATTATTATTATTCACAAGACAGACTATGACTTGTGTCCTTAAACTTGTCTCTTCACAATGTTCTGGAAAACCCAAGACCTAAGTGCAACCACAGATTCTACTCTTTCAGTTAGTATATTTTTATACCTTCTCATATGAGCCAATACTTCTGATAAGAGAATTACTTCAAAAAATAAAACAGAAACATAAAGTAAAAACATCATCGACCTCCTTCAAGTGGCCTTCATAAAGGGATAACTAAAGAGTTGGGGAAAAAGTCAGGAAACAGCTAAACAGAAAATCTGTCATGTTTAAAGAAATCACCTAATAAAATAGTTGTAAATTTACTTTGTACATGCATAGACTCACTCTGCATAATTCCAAAACACAGAAACAAAAATGGTAAGGGGTTTTAGTCCAACTTTTCAACTAGGATAGATCATTCAGATTCTTTACACTGAATTTACATAGGCTTTCTTGACAAAATGAGACCAAGTAATTCAATCTCCTTTTGTTTGTTGCATAGACTGAAAGGGAAGGAATGCATTTTCAGAAGTTCCCTGTGAAACTTTGAATTTTAGGAAGTCAAACCTGGGCTCAGAGAGGTTAAATGATATGTTCCAGATTGTACAAGTCAGGGCAGGCCAATTATCAGTCCTAGGTCTCTGGACTTTGGCTACACCTCATTGCCAATTTTACATAGGGATAAAGTCTCCCAGGCTGTCTTACTTACTTAATGTATTGGGAGAAGCTTGAATTCACAGGACAAATTAAATAGACATTTTCCTTCTGCTTTAATTTGGTAAACACATTGAAGGCGTCATTTTAATGGAGTCAGAAAGAAGAATCGGAAGATGATAAAAGCCTACGTTAACTTCTTAGAAAAACTTCCCCCCTAACATATCAGTGAAGGGGAAAGCAAAATCTAAATTGGAACCATGTTGCTCGAAATTCAAGGATGTTTTACAAGAAGCAGAGACTCATGTTGATAACTTGGGTACTTCTGAACTACACATCAAGAGAGAAGATACAATGATCTGATTCATACACAGCAGAAGCAATTCCTGGGGAAAGTGGCAGGAGGTCATGATGGGAACCAGTTCAAACACGAGTGGCTAAATTGAAGTGCAACCGGACAGGAAAGAGAGTGGATGATAGAATGGAAGGCCCCATTAATCATTTCTAGGATTTTATCTGATGATAATTGCCCTGGGTTCATAAAAATATTTGATATCTAATAATATTTGATTTGGCTAATTTTTTTTCACTTGGATATTTTCCTTGAGAGTTCTTTTGCTGGGCTCACAAGTTTCAATATTTAAACATGGCACAAAGGGATGAATACAGTGCTTCCACAGTGGCTCTGTGGTTAGTGAGAAAAAAACTGGTAATCTGGGCATGGTCCCACTGTTTAGTTACATCCTCTCAAAATTGGCCTTTGGATAGAAACAATAGGCATAAATGATGATAAAACTGATATCAATTTAGAGTTCTTCAACGACACCTTCAAACTTTATAAAAGAAAATAACTTGTATTATCCTGAATAAATTAACACTCGAATTTCAGAGTTTTAAGAAAAAGTTTCTCAAATGTTATAATCAGGAAAAACACTGAGCTTTTTTACTAAAGGCATTTTTAAGTGTGCTGATAAAACTATATGATTTCAAGACTATGAGTTATTTTCACAAATCAGTAAAACCCAAGAGTGACTGAAATTAATCCAAATATACTTTTAAGCAATATTTCAGTCAAATTTAAAACTGACAAATGTTAAACAAGTGGAAGTTTATGACTAACCACGGAAACCTCAGGTATTGTTTTTATAAATAACAGTCGCCAATTTGCCAAGAGAGAATATATAGGGAACATATATAGTTTAAAAGTTACTCATTTTCTTTTTTTAAAAAATATTTTATCTATAGATCAAACTTCTTCTCCATTAGAAGTTTCCTGAAAATGTGTATATGATAAAAATTGGAAACCAAAAGCATTTTAATTAAAATAAACAATTATTAAGGAAGTAAATTTGTGTTCTTAATTCTTTATTAAAGGTTCTAAAATGAGAACAATAGAATGAGGCTCAGGTACCTTCTGTGTGTGTGTGTGTGTGTGTGTGTGTGTGTGTGTGTGTGTGTGTGTGTGTGTTTATGCGCATGCGCGCAGGCGCAATCCTTCCCCTGGGTAAAGAGCTCCTTCTGATTGACTAAGTGACATAAGTCCCGCAGCTCAGTTACAGTCAAACATGTTTGTTTGTTTGTCTTCCCCTGTTAATTAGACTATCATATTCTTTACTCCTTCCAGATATAATCTAGTTAAGAAAGGAAAACATTGAAGTATTTGAAGATATACATTACCTCTTCTGATTTTTCACTAAATAACTATATATGAAAGAAAACAGGATATGATTTATAGTAAAATCTAATGATAATTTTAAAAGGTAACTAATTACCGATATATAGGGCACAATGAGACATCTTCACACTCTCTCTCTTCAAATAAGGTATCCGGGCATTCTTGGCCTCCGTTGGCTGCTTCTTGGATGATAATTCTGTATCGAGACTGTTTTACTGTGGTATTTCCTGCAGTGAAGAAAAAAGAAAGTTATAGTGACCCTTTATGTTGATGCAGAGCAAAATTCACAAATGGCAGAAAACGAAGAAAAAAAGAGAGGTAAAGTAAGCACAGGTGGAAAGACAACCTGCAAAATGAGAATAACAAGAAAAGACCAAGAGTTAGTGCTCCATCTGACCTTGGCGAGATAAACACATCACACTTACTAATTATGATTTCAAATACAATTGTTTCCCACTGTCATGATGTGTTTCAAGTTAATTAGGTCATTAAATATGAAACATCCAATTCTGAATCAAAATTTTATTATATTTCAAACAAGAAGCAGTACAATTAATCAAAGTGCCTAAACTATCGACACAGTTTTGCCGTCTTAATGGTAGCTTGTTTATGCCAACAGCGAAGAAGCCTGGAGAGCAAATGGCAATGGTATTGTGAAAGGCATTTTCCATAGCTTGCTAAGAATTGAATATTTTTCCTTGCAAGAAGTGGTTCAAAGCCTGGAAGAAGTGGTAGTCAGTTGGTGCAAGGTCTGGTGAATACAGTGGATGACAGAGAGTTTCCAAGTCCAGCTTCTCTAGTTGGAGCAGCATTGTTTTTTGCGACATGCGGTCTTCCAAGAGGATTGGTCTGTCTCTATTGACCAATCTCAGTGGCTTAATTGCAAGCATCCTCATCATTTTGTCCAATTGGTTGCAGTAGACATCCACTATAATCAGTGGCCCAGGTCTCATGAAGCCATAGTGGGTAATACCAGCCCTGGACCACCCAACAGACACCATTAGCTTTTTTCGATGAATATTAGATTTTGGACTGTGTTTCAGCACTTAATCTCTATCCAACTATTGTGCTGAACACTTGGATTATCAGAAATAATCCATTTTTCATCACACATCGCAATATGATGTAGAAATGGTTGGACTTTATGTCCTGACAGCAAAGAAAGGCAAGCTTCGAGACAATTTCTTTTCTGATGCTCATTTAATTCATGCAGTACCCCTCTACCCAGCTTCTTTACCTTGCCAATTTGTTTCAAATGGTCTAATATTGTTGGAATAGTAATGTCAAACCCTGCTGTTAATTCACACATAGGTCGAGATGGATTCACTTCCACAACAGCTTGTAGCTCACCATTATCCACCCTGGTCTCAGGTCACACACATGGCTCATTGTCAAGATGAAAATCATCAGAACAGAACTTCTCAAACCATCGACATACTGTGCATTCATTACACAAATCCTTCCCAAATACTTTGTTGATAATTTGAGCTATCTATGCTGCATTGGTTCCACAGTGGAACTCATATTCAAAAATAACATGAATTTTTGACTTTTCCACGGTTTCACCAAAATTGCTCTCAGAAAATTTTGAAAGATAATCTCACAAGCCAAAACGTGCATTAGAAAGAATGAGGATGTAGATTCACAATAAAAAATAATAATAATAATAAAATCCAAGAAGTATCAAAGTGAGATGTCAGAGATATCAATTGTCAAATTTATTAATAGTACTTAAGGAAATCTGACATTCCACTATTACTCACCTAAATAGACTCTACATTACCAATGGCATGCAAGTTTTATGGCATGATCTGAGGGGCCCTAAAACCCACTTTGATTTCAAAATAACAGCTGAAAGCCCTAGACTGTTATTATTAGCAATTCACTCTTTTGATCTTTTAAGTAAGGCATCATCCTCTCTAGTCTACTTTTTATAAAGGAAGCATACCTATAAAAAATACTACATTAGAAACCTATTTAACTATGGATATTAGTTTATTAGATATCTTATTCCTCATAGCTTCATAACCAATATATACATAATTGGAATAAGGGAAGAGACACTGAAATTGGGAAAGAACAAAATATTCTTTACTTTATGATTTTGATGATAAGTAGAAGTATTAACAGAAACTTCAATTCAGAAAAAAGTGATGTTCTCTTTAATGTGTTGGGGCACTCATTTCATAATGTTTAGATGCCTTCTGAATCAACAACGCAAATCAATTACTATCTCAATTACTATGTGCAAGATATATGATTTGCGCTAGATGTGCAGATACAAATCTCTTACCAACAGAACTTAAAATTAAACAGGAAACAAAGGCAGATATATGCACAACTAGTTAGAATACATTGCAGAGTGTAAGCAGTGTCAGTGATATAGTATTGGGGGAGTAGAGAAGAAAGAGTAATCATTTTTGACTTTGCAAACCAAAGACAGCTCATGAAGACAGGAATAAATATATACATATTTATTTATATTGCAGGTCAAGGACATAGTTTGAGAAAAGTCACCGAGACATTAGAGTCTGAGGAATTTACAGAGAAAGGCATGTAGCTACAATCAGAAGAACAGTTGTGTGACTATGGCTCTGGGTGTGTGAACATGGGGAGGTGAGGGAGAGAGGGAGAGCAATGTGAAGGTTATAAAGAATGGAAAGGAGGAAAAGTGCAGGAGAAAATGGAATTAATTGGTAGGTCTGGGATAAGTAATGGCCCTGATCACATAAAGAAGTTAAATTATAGAAAAAGCCAGTCAATTAAATGAAGCAAAACAACAGGGGAAACAGGAAGATTTATTAAATTTTTATTTGCACATGGTTTTTGAAAAATCATTAATACTAGAAGACTTACAGTGAGAAGCAATTGACCCACCACCCATGTTCCTCTACTCCCTTTCCTCCTTTTCAGAGAAAACTCTTTTAACTGTTTCTGTATTTAGTTCTTCCGTGGTTATCTCCAAATCTATAAATAAAGTGCTTACGTCACTACTACTTGATTTATGAAATTTAGACATTACCTATTGACTTTCTGCTATAATTGATGAGAATTTACTTTGCACCATCTTTCAGTCTTTTGTAATTGTGTTGCTATTTTTACACTTCTACTGGTTATTTAAAGTCTTTAAATAATCTATATTTTTTAGCCCTACTCCTTACCTCTGTCCTCCCCCAGACTAGCCACCATGGCTCTGCAGAGTCCTCCTGGGTGGATGGGATTTCTCTTTGATAGCCATCCATCTTCCTGCTAAGTTAGGTCACAGCTCCCCATGCCATGTCATAAGTTTCTCTACTTTTCAGTCTTATCCATTAATGTTCTGTCTTCCATAAACATCTCTCATGCACTGATGGTCCTCTCTTTTTGTTTTTGAGAAGAGATGAGGGCTTTTAAAATTCCTTTTCTACGATTTTTTATGAGATCTTGAGAAGGAGGGGAGACCAACGCTTTTGCATATCTCAAGGCCGTGAACTAGAAGTTCGGCAGATATACATTTGCTCCCCAGATCCCTTCTTTGCCCTTCTTTCAACTGCTTTGTACCCGTAAACTACCCATAGAAGGACTGCCTTGGTGGCCCCTTGCCCACTGGCTTCTGTTTGGGTTTGGCCAATGGGGGGAAGGGGCACATCATGGAAGGAAAAAAGAGCACAAGAGGAGAGGACAAGGGATGAGGGTATTTATTCCATCAGATTACATTGCCTGGATCACCTCTAGTTGTCTCCCTACCTCTAACAGAAGCCACAGTTCCACTGGAGTGGCGCTTGCCTACTTCTACTTTCTTTTGGTTTCATTAACTGCTGCTTTCTTCACCAACTTCAAGACTCCCGACTGTCACTATCCAGGTGCTGAACCACAACACTGCTCACTCCTTTGTAAATAGTCCCTTCATTAAATTTTCCTCAGTTGCCCCATTTGAGTGGGCCACCTGTTTCCAGCCAGGACATGCCAATAAGGTCAAAGAAGAGACGCTGTCATGTGACAGAGGGAGTGCTATGATTGCTTCCTTTTTAAATGTAGTTAAGGCTCTGTGAGGAATTTATAGAAACAAAAGCTTAAAAAGAAAAAAGTATAA